CAGTCTAGGCCGGTACCTCTGTCGGTACCAGCCAGTCCAGTCCAGTCCCGTCAGTCCGCTGGGGTATACCCCAGCCATTGTCTGTTTTCATTCTCATTCCTCACTYGCACATTTTGGAGTACGTGCGTTGGAGTCTTGCGTGGGGAGCTGCGTTGTGCCATCTTGCTCCCCCTTCTTCCTCCATCTCCATCTCTGTCACTAGCGGAGCACCACACCTGGTGGGTCCGCTACACCCATCAATCCCCTTTACTTCACTCCGGCAAGACTTACTGCAGCAGAGCAACCATCTCCGCTGCTGCTGTACCCTATTTCCATCCTACAAGCTAGCCCCCTCACTAGTAGGACGCTTGATATCCCACCATCTGCTTCTCCCACTCACCTCTTTTTTTGAGAAACAAAGACATGCACAATTCAGAAAAAGACTCAGACACCCCTTATCAATCCCCCGTACCCCACTCCGGCAAGACTTACTGCAGCAGAGCCACCCGTCTCCGCTGCTGCTGTACATCCTACCAGCTAGCCCCCTCACTAGTAGGACGCGTGGATACCCACCATCTCCTTCTCCCACTCACCTCGATCTCTTTTTCTAAGATACTGGGACCCTTACCCGGCTTCGGCTGAAAAACCGTCTGAGAACACTTGCAGTTTCTTTTTTTTAGGACTGAGAAACAAAAACATATGCGCAATTATTCAGAAAACGACTCAGTTCGCACCCCCAATCGATCCCCTGTACCCCACTCCGGCAAGACTTACTGCAGCAGAGCCACCTTCTCCACTGCTGTTGTACCCTATTCCCATCCTACCAGCTAGCCCCCTCACTTGTAGGACACATGATATCCCACTATCTCCTTCTCGCACTCACCTCGATCTCGTTTTTTTAAGATACCGGGGCCATTACCCGGCTTCGGCTGAGAAAACATCTGAGAACACTTGCAGCAATTCGGGAAACATGAAAATAGACCGCAGAGGTCCTACAAATGCTCCAACACCCTCGAAATCCCTAACAAGCCCTTCCAAGGCTCTCCAGCACTGTCGTACTCCCTGCCGAGCTCTTCCAGGCCTCACACCCCCACATCCTGCTGGGACAAAGGGCAACACAACTCACCCCAGCTCCGACCAACGTTGTCACAGTAGCAACCCTTGGTTGTCCCATGGAATACCCACCCCAAAGCATCCCCACTAATCACACATATTCTAACGAGTCCAGTGGCTGGTGTCTGATGGTCAAGGTCGTCGTGACGGTCCAGTTTGGACCATCTCTCCCCTGGGAGGCGTGGTCTGTGCACCTGAAGCCTCGCCCGTGTGAGTTAACTGCCGCTAGGTTGTATACTACCATCGGGATCGGCCAGTCCTTAGGCCGGACCACCCAGTCCCCCTGCCTTGTTGTCAGGCGTCTCTTGAGTTCCTGGACCCATGCCAGGGGGACAGCCTTGTGACAAACCGATTTCTGTTCCGCGCGATTTTCTGCGTGGTAGCAACGGGGGGTCCTAAGCTGGGAAGGATGGGCCAATTACGAGAGATCAGGATTGGAAAGAAATTGCATCAGTGTCCTCGCTTCTTCGTCTTTTTGCATCAGTTCTTTTCGGATGGCTGGGTTCAGGGTCAGGTAGGTCCCGGGAATGATTGATGGGTGTTGCGCAGCCGAGAGCGCGCGAATAATTCTGGTTGGCGACATTCCTTTCTGTTTTCTGTTGTTGGAATTTAGGTGCGGAGACCTCGCGATAACTTTTGCTTCATTCTTTTCGAATTTTCGAACTTTCTTTTCGAAATTTCGAACTTTCTTTTCGGAAGTTGTGATTTTCGTTTTCTGCACTAGGTAAGAATTTAGAAATTTTGTAATTAGGATTTTCTTTTGTCGCGCAACGCTTTTTGCTTACGCAATTCTTTTTGCGGCTGCAACGGAACTCTGATGAGTCGGGGCCCTTAATCGCGTGTGTAACTGTAATTGTAGGGGGCCACCATTGTCACTGTATCTTTCTTCTTGTGCTTCGTCTTTTCCGCCTTCGCTTCTTCTTGCTGTGTCCAGCCAGCCCGCGGAGTGCATGATCGGATCGAGGCGTGGAGAGAGGCAAGGCCCCCCACGCCGCGCTCTGGCCATGTAGAACGTAAGCGATCCCTCTCATAATCTCCTTTCTAAGTCCTTGGAATTCCGTGTTCTTCGCGCATGTATGCACGCTATAAATTCCGGCTCCGCGATTAGATAGCTCTCTTAACCAGCTAGTGGAAGCTCGAGGTAGCGCGATCAGTGAGGGTCAGCTCACGAGCGAAGTAAGAGGTGAGTTGAAGTGGGAGTCGGGCGACCCGACGAGCTGGTGCCGAACGCGCTGGGTTGACGCGGGCCACGACAGACTGTGGGCGCATACGAACCAGACGGGTGCGGGAGGACTAAGCGGGGTGACGACATCGTGGGTTGGTGCGCAACGACGGACTGTCCGCATCGGAGAGAGAGAAAGAAAGAGGAAGAGGGAACTGAGGTTGATGGACGGGGATTTGCAGTTTTCTTTGTCTTTCCTCCCTCCTTGCCTTTGTATATAAATTTTGATCTCGGTCTCGGGCGATGCGCCCGTTTCCCTTTTGTTTTCGGAATTTTGTTTCGGTTTTGGCTCACACTCGTTTTGCGTTTGATCGTTGTATGTTTGCCTAATGAATGAATGTATGTCGTGTCTGTTGTTTGTTTTTTGCCGGATCTTTGCTTTTGCTTGTCCATTTTGATACGCTTAGGAGTCTTCTCTTATACACATCTAGATGTGTATAAGAGACAGGTCTCGGGCGATGCGCCCGTTTCCCTTTTGTTTTCGGAATTTTGTTTCGGTTTTGGCTCACACTCGTTTTGCGTTTGATCGTTGTATGTTTGCCTAATGAATGAATGTATGTCGTGTCTGTTGTTTGTTTTTTGCCGGATCTTTGCTTTTGCTTGTCCATTTTGATACGCTTAGGAGTCTGGGAGGAACTGTTACACAGTCGACGATACTGCTTTCACCACCGCTGTCTTATTTCTGAGCTTTTGTTGCTGTTGCGATAACCCCCATCATGATAAGGAGCAATGGCGTACGGGATCGTGGGACGATTGGATGATTGTGTAGTTACTGTCCCGAAGCAAGCAAATACCCCGCGGGGATGCGCGTAAGCACGGCGATCCGATCTACGCAGCTTACGCGTATCCACGCGCGGCGATTTGTAACCACAAACGAAATTAACCACCCCGGGAATGGATGTTGCATTACGAAGAAAAAATGGTCGCTTCTGTTCAGAGTAGTAGGTGAATACCGGGCCTTGGTGCATGCGGGGATGTTGAAACAAGGGATGAGTGACTGATGCATTCGACGGTCACAACGTAGGAATCGTCCCGTGCGAACACATGTAAGCGCGATCCTATTGACACGGCCTACGTGTACTCGCACGAGGTGATTCGCTATCGTCGGATATCGGGACAGGCCTCGAAAGATCTGATCACCGAGCCCAGAATTTCCCCCAGCAGGGTAAATACACACTAAGAAATT